GGGGGGGGGGGGGGGGGGGGGGGGGGGGGCAACTAATGTGAGGTGTACTACAGACACATGTGGAATTTACTACAAAACAGGGGTGACTAATTTTAAGGCTTTCTACAGAGAGAGGGCGACTAATGGGAGCTAACTACAGAAAGATGGCCACGTATGTGTGACTCTTTAAAGAACAGGGGCTACTTATGTTGGGTTCACTACAGGACAGGGGGGACTAATGTTGGGTTCACTACAGGACAGGGGGGGACTAATGTTGGGTTCACTACAGGACAGGGGCTACTTATGTTGGGCTTACTACAGCACAAATGGGCTACTCATGTTGGGCTTGCTACAAAACTGATGGCGACTAATGTTGGGCTTACTTCAGCAAAAATGGGCGACTAATGTGGGGCTTACTAGAGAACAGGTGGGCTTTTGTTGGGCCTTTCAAAGAACAGGGGAGGGGCGACTAATTAGGGCCTCATTACAGAACAGGGGGAGATTATTGTGGGGCTTGTTACATAACAGGGGGGACGACTGATGTGAGGCGTACTACAGACCAGGAGCCTTCTTTTAGGTTTTCTGCCTAGGGGACCTAAAATTGAATCAAAACCTTGGATATATATCTCTCTTCTGTTACTTAACCGTTTGATGGATTGTTATATTGCCCATCCGTTTTCCTGAGCCAGAGAGCTATACTGTGTTCAAAAAGGAAAACATTTAACTAAATATATGAAGTGGAATAGTACACTTTTTATGTTCCCCAAAGTCAATAATATGATTACCATTCCGATAAACGTCGACAAGACATGTTAAATGGAAGACCAACGTCAATTTGTAAAAGTAGCAATGGTTAGTCGTTTATTTGTGAACAGTCCAGGGATTTTTGTTAAGAATTGTAGCTATTCAATGTTTTTAAAAGATTTAAGATTTGTTGTATTTTGTTGTAATATTATTTCTCTTGTTGACTGAAGGCCAATACAATCTTCTAACAGCTGTTTTACTCTAAATGGTTCAGGCTGGTTTTCAATAAATAAGACATTCAATCATAAAATGTTTTACTGTTAAAGGTTGATTGCAATAAAGTTTGCCTCATACGGTAATTCAGTGGGATTATAGACAGGTACTTCTCCACTCAAATACCACATGATGATTATGTTAAATATACACTTCTATTCATCGACATAACAGACAAATGGCAATCATTTGGAAACAAGAAATATTTTTGGAATCCATTCAAATGTCCCCAAATTTGAACATGTTTTTTTTTTATTTGACAAATATTTACATGACGGATGTTGTCGATGAAGCAAAAACCACGAAGCCTTCAAGAAAAACGTCGGATATATTCTTCATACACTTCGTGTGATCATTCCGTCGTTCGCATTTTGTCTTTATACAGTTATCACAAGTTTTGAATTTTAATTACGTTTTAAAACGCTTATTATCACAGTTATTTTGCTTTAAGCGAGCAATAGTTCTTGTTATTGACGATGTCATTGTTCCAGGTAATGAGGAGGGACGACTGCAATGACACCAACGACACACTAATACCGAAACAGATAAATTTATCACTTCCGGAAAAATGCCGATCACTTCCGGTCAAATGGTTGGACGAATTTTACTGCTACAACAACATCAACCCAGACAACCCAGGTAGGTAAAAGTCAACGCTAAAATCTTCTGTCGACCTTTCTGTTGAGCGATACACGCCACATAGGTAAAAATGACGTCATATACGACATTGTGACGTAACACCTATATGCTTTGTCGCTACGATTATTACAATGTACTATTTGTCCCCGTGCTTATTTATTTCTATGGCGTAACTCTGGGAAGTAATATAAAGACATCATACATATTTTGTTTGCGATTAAAATCATATGTTAACATAAACCTAAGTTTTAGGATGTACAACCTTCTGTCTCTCGTTTACAGACATTATCAAAGCACTCCGGCCGTTCCCTGGTCATAAACGGTTTTGTACCTACGAGTCCGAGACGGTGCGCACGCAGACTTGTTACTGTTGGTCGTGTGGGAACCCGCTAATCAAAAAGAAGACACTTGTATGTTTGCGCTCCATGCAAATCAACAGCTCACTTAAGTGTAAAAGGGAGATAACGAGCTACCAGTCTGATAGGGATTACATCGTCACCGAGGAAACAAACAACGATAGACTTTACGTATCGGCAGATTGAATTGTTTATAAATAAACGTCTTTTGGATAGAAAACAATTGATCTACTTTACCGTCAGGAATTAAATCTCCGAGAAGGAATAGCTACTGTCTGGTTGTTATTGACTAAGAACTCTAGAAACCGCGAAAATCATACAAAATGCGCATGAATTGACACAAGCAGAGGCGAACGCACTTGTTCGAGAAGTGTGATCCCGTCATAGACATCATTCAGTGCAAATCGTAACAACCTCCACTCGAGAATAATCAATGACTAGAATATCCTCAATGAAAATGTTAAGTAATGGAGTTATGCGTCAGATTTTTCGTATTTTTCACCTAGAAGTGAGAATTAAGTAATGAAATCACACCTGCTAGCCTATCCCACGGTGGTAATGGCACGTTGTTATTGATGGCATTCGCAGTTAGACCTGTCTACATAAAAGCTACTGTTTGTAAGGGGGTTAATGTCGACGTACATGGAATTGTTGAGTCGTTTAGTGCAAAATTACACTTAAAAAAAGATGTTCACAAGAAAGGAATACATTCAAATTAAACTAAGATTAAATGTGTAAAGTATGCAAAAAAGATCTTTAACAAACAAATACGTTGTAAAACATGAAATTATAACTTTGTGTATAACTCGACTGAATGTAAATAGTCATATGGTATTGACTGTATCGCAGTTACAAGAAAACAACTTCCTCCCTGCAGTAGCGTCTAATTGCTGTGCATGTATCGAAATATAATTGAAATGAAAACAAGCCTTTTCACCATTTCGGACCATTTCTGTTGTCATGTTGTTTCAATGAAAAATGCAATGAAAGGTTCACAATCAGACAGAGGCAGTTTACTATCGTTCGGGTGTACGTTAGGGGCTGTTTGAATAGACTTTTCTACTCTCTCATCACCAGGTAAACCGACATGACCTACTATCCAGGTTAAGATCAGGTGACAAAGCATTAAGATCCTGTTAAAACGAAGGGCAATGTTCTTTATGAGAATATTTTATATCCGGTTTTGAATACTTTGTAGAACGGAAGAGTCAAAGTAAAAAAGAAAAATCTGATTCTATTTTTTTTTTTTTTTTTTTTAAATTATATGAAGCCTTGTGCCTAGGGAAACAGCGAAAACATATTATTAGTTCTATTCGTAACGCTCCATCAACACAAAAGAGTTCGTTAGGGCCAATACAAAGTAAGTAAAACGTGTCAAAGGAAACGACATTAAACAATTGAAAAGGTAAGACAAACGTCAACTCAAAAGGTAAAAGTGGCTGATGTATACATGTTTTGTATCTTTTAGATCAGATCAACAGTTTTATGGTAGGTTAGAATTGTAGAGATACTGACCGTCTTGAAAAGAGATTTGAAATCTGTTATATTAATTTAAGTTTTCGTTTGTTGTCTGGATGTCAATGCAATCGAATAACGAGTAGTTTACTGTAAATTGGTTCCTGACATTCTATGTATTCACTGAGGCCGCTCTTCGAGTTTCAATAGATAAGCTGGGTAATGTATGAAAGACCGATCCGGAGACGGGCAAGGAAACAAGTTTTCGCTATTGATGGCATGGGATACCATTCACTGATTGAAGGTTTTACAAAGTGTAATTTGTTGTCTACTCATTGATTCCATCTATTCTGCCGCTGCATTATCTGTATTCCCACATGTCCGGGGACCCACCATAAGGTAATGTGGCATTTGTAGGTAAAACTTAACAATTGTGTTAATATTTTACTTATTGAAATATTTTTAAAAGTTTGTTTTGTTGTTTCTAGCAATCCGCTCCTTTTTTTAAGACACAGTGAAACAGAACAGTTACATGTGCATCATATTACAAGAAGATAGAACTGATATACTATAATTGAAAATATAGCTATTATATAAAACCAATAGTCCCCTCGGCTAAAGACAGTCGAAGGTAGCAATTAAGCTGAGAGCATCGCGGACAAGTGCGCAAGATGCACTATCACATAAAGTGAGTCAATGAATATATGCCAGTTTGTATATACATTATATATACATAAGAATGAATCTATGCCAGTTTGTATATATATACATAATAATGAATCTATGCCAGTTTGTATATATATACATAATAATGAATCTATGCCAGTTTGTATATATATACATAATAATGAATCTATGCCAGTTTGTATATATATACATAATAATGAATCTATGCCAGTTTGTATATATATAGATAATAATGAATCTATGCCAGTTTGTATATATATACATAAGAATGAATCTATGCCAGTTTGTATATATATACATAAGAATGAATCTATGCCAGTTTGTATATATATACATGATAAGATCATTAGAGGACGTGTCTCCTTGTGTATTATGAACGGTTGCATGTGTGTATGTGTGCAGGAGGCAGGATATGTTGGTGTATATGCCTTTCGGCGATATCGCAAATCTGATGACGGCTTTATAGTGCCACCTCACTTAAATATCTATGACAGGTGGCAACACTATAATATTTTTATTCCCATTATATAGTGCCTTATCCTGAAAGCCTTACACAAAATACCCTCACACCTTAATGCTTTTTTGAGGTTATTTGTCCCTGTCGGCCTAAACTCATGTTTTTGCAGACAATTATGTTTGCTCTCTGCTTCTAAGTTAAATAGTTTTACATTTTTGACTCGTGTGACCTTTTCAAAGATTTTGACCCATGTGACCTCGAAATGACTCATTTGTTTTAGCCGACCTTTTCGCATTCTGTTCCAACATGCTTCTATGTAAAATGACTACAGGCCTGTTGATACATCAACAAGGTCGTTAAGCGATATTAACAAATTTGAACCATGGGACCTTGAATATTGAAAAAGAGGACACGACCCTTTGTGATATTAGGCTCAAAAGCAGGTTTCAATTTCTGTCAAGATCCGAGGTAGAAATTTCCTCAAATAAGCTGTCATGTCATACCTGCACAATGCAACCAGACATGGATGTTCAAAAAATAACTTGGTGCAAGAATATTGACCACGATTTGCTACAAAAGGAATCACCAAATTCTCGGTTTTGGTAATTTTCTGAAGTACCGACAACCCATTCTTCTACCTACGGTTTTGATGAGCTATGTTATAATAGCTGTAGAAATACTGAATAACATCGAGGATGTACTTTCATTTACTTTGTAAGAAATCTTGATTATCAAACGTATATTTCCGTCAGCGTTTTAAGCAATAATTGAAGAAGGCGCTGTAAGAATAATATAAAAATAATTGTCCTAAGATTGAACTCATGTTTTTATGAATTTTGCTTTCAACGAATAAACATGATTTCACGATATTTGAAATAGTGGTGAACTGCAATAACAAAACACCAAATCTCAGATATCCTGGACATGTTTACTTGTGACGGAGTGCAGTCACAGTTTGAGTAATATTCATCCTACCAGACACTTTAGAAAACGGAAACTTTAACACACTGTGTATCCTACTTAATATAGTACAAAATTAATACCTTGTTACCCAAAGTGTATAATTGACTTACACAATACTGCGGAAAAACGTCACGTTGTCACCCAATGTGTGTAATTGACTTACAAAATACTGCGGAAAAACGTCACGTTGTTACCCAAAGTGTGTAATTGACTTACAAAATACTGTGGAAAAACGTCACGTTGTTACCCAAAGTGTATAATTGACTTACAAAATACTGCGGAAAAACGTCACGTTGTCACCCAAAGTGTGTACTTGTCATACTAAATACAAAAGAGAACTGATACTTTGTCACTCTAAACTAATTCCTATTAGCATAACTACGTTCGTCGCTGCATGCCTATCAATTCTACACATGAGTATATAGTTGAAATGACCGCAGATTCCCTGAAAGTTATTAACCAAGGGCGGGGTCAAACTCCGAGTCTGGTACTGTAGGCAAAGTAAGGCAAACCTCAGAGACTGATACTGTAGGCAAAGTTAGGTCAAACTCCGAGTATGATCCTATAGGCAAAGCAAGGTAAAAATCAAATTATGATACTGTAAGTAAAGTAAGGCCAAAGTCTGACCCAGGAGGCAAAGTAGGGCGGAACCAAGAGTCTAACCCAGGAGGCAAGGTAGGGCCAAACTCGGAGTCTGATATTGGATGCAAAGTAGGGCAAAACTCAAAGTCTGATGCTGGAAGCAAAGTAAGGCAAAACTCAAAGTCTGATGCTGGAAGCAAAGTAAGGCCAAACTCAAAGTCTGATGCTGGAAGCAAAGTAAGGCCAAACTCAGAGTCGGTTACTGCAGGCAAAGTAAGGCCAAACTCAGAGTCTGATATTGGATGCAAAGTAGGGCAAAACTCAAAGTCTGATGCTGGAAGCAAAGTAAGGCCAAACTCAGAGTCTTATACTGGAGGCAATGAAGATCCAAACTCGGAGTCTGATCCTGTAGGCAACGTAAGGCCAAACTCAGAATCCTTTCCATTATTGTTGTAAAATGAAGAAAGTTTTAATATATTTATTATTGCCCAACCCTAAGCCACAGTCAAACCAACCTTGTAAAGCTCCTTTTAGTGTCGAAACTACTTTCCTATGGTATTTCTAAACATTTTCTTCAGGTTGGTAAGTAAGGATTATAAAAAGATTCTTCTAACACAACCAATATGTGTTTCTATGTGACGATTCGATGACTACGTGGTACGGTATATACTCTGTTACCTTCATCAGACGAAGTACTAGTGAAGCGTATGTACACGAAGGTGTAAAATGTGAAAGAGTTGCCAACAAAACGATGTCGATTCGGCTACGGTTTATGGGTATGTACACATTTATACCATACTTGTCATTAAAACGTCACAACTTGTTGGTTGTGTTACATGAATCTGTTCATAATACTTTCCTATGACGTTGACAGTTGTGATGAAACAAAATACACGAAAATATACTCTAGAAGGAAGGATACAATTTACTTTAATCACGTTTCTAGAAATGAAGACATAATAAACAAAATCAAAACAAATTGCCCAACTAGCTGATATAGTGCTCGAGTCGACCATGCTGTAGTGAGATCTAGGGACACATGGATATGGCTACTTCGGTGATAGATGGGTGATCACACGCGGCTTTAGACAGCTCACATCTGGTAAACATAGCAAAAATACGCATTATAAAACTTACGAGAGTAGACACAACTTACTGGTACGTTACACATTTATGCACTTTAATAAAAGAGTAGACAAAACGTACTGGTACGGTTACACATTTATACACTTTTGATTAGAGGGTAGTCCAAACTTAAATGTTATGTAACACATTTATTCACTTGTGATTAGAGGGTAGTCCAAACTTAATGGTTAGAGTACACATTTATATAATTTTGATTAGAGGGTAGTCCAAACTTAGATGTTAGGTAACACATTTATTCACTTGTGAATAGAGGGTAGTCCAAACTTAATGGTTAGAGTACACATTTATATACTTTTGATTAGAGGGTAGTCCAAACTTAATGGTTAGAGTACACATTTGACACTTGTGATTATAGGGTAGTCCAAACGTACTCGTACGGTTACACATTTATATACTTTTGATTATAGGGTAGTCCAAACTTAAATGTTAGGTAACACATTTATTCACTTGTGATTAGAGGGTAGTCCAAACTTAATGGTTAGGTAACACATTTGACACTTGTGATTAGAGGGTAGACAAACTTACTGGTTAGGTTACTTATTTATTCACTTTTGATTAGAGGGTAGACCAAACGTACTTGTACGGTCACACATTTATACACTTTTGATTAGAAGAGGGTAGTCCAAACTTACTGATAAGGTTACACATTTAACACTCTTGATTAGAGGATAGTGTTAACTTACCTGTTAGGGTACAGATGTCCGTCGGAGCCACAAACGAACGCGATTGCCAGGTCACAATTGATGGAGTCCTTGTTCTGGCAGAATACGGACTGGATGACCTGCGAGGAGGACTTCACTGTTGTCAACTGCATGGTAAATTTAGTTGTCATAGCTGTTGTGCTGACAGCAGGCATCATGGTACTTCCAGCAGCGGGCATCATGGTACTTCCGGCAGCGGGCAACATAGTAGTGCTGGCAGCGGGCATCATGGTACTTCCGGCAGTGGGCATGGCAGTCGTAACTACACACGGACCATGTCCACTTACGCTCAGATGTGCGAACATACACGAAGCATGTACGAAGTAGCAGCTGTAAATAAAACGCGTGAAGGGAATTACATGAATTCATAATGCCACTTAACTAATTATATCATTGCAAGACTGTAGCATATTTGAACGACATTGCACTCTAGGTCGGCATCCGATTTGCGCTATCATAAGGCACATACACCAGTCTACCTTATCTGGTGTACACGCACATATAACACATCAGGTCACGCACGTTGCTGTTTATAGGACGTTAAACGCTATAAACCAAAGCTATTTCTCATTTATTTAATTCTTCAAACAATGGTTTCTAGAGAGAATTAGGCACTACCCCACACACAATCAAATTATCTTCATTAGATCAGTGTAAGATTGATCTTTTCTTTTAAACCGTTGTGATTAACATTGTGTCGTGCTAATCGTGCAACATACAGGGTTATCGAAATAACCGGTAAACTCGTTGTCAGTATAACGTGGCCAGGCGGAATGCTGTGCTAGGTGCCTTCAGCATAATGTTATAATACCTTCCGACTCATGCTAAGTTTGAAGGCACCCAGCACAGCATTGTAACACCCCTGCAAGTCGGGGATCGAGCTAAGATTACGTCTGCTTGTTACCCACTGCATATATAGTAGGAGGCGACCAATGTGTGAACCCCCTGCAGAATTGGGTATTTGCTTCTGTGCCCTCTATACATACAGGGTTATCGAAATAACCGGTAAACTCGTTGTCAGTATAACGTGGCCAGGCGGAATGCTGTGCTAGGTGCCTTCAGCATAATGTTATGATACCTTCCGACTCATGCTAAGTTTGAAGGCACCCAGCACAGCATTGTAACACCCCTGCAAGTCGGGGATCGAGCAAAGATTACGTCTGCTTGTTACCCACTGCATGTATAGTAGGAGGCGACCAATGTGTGAAAACCCTGCAGAATTGGGTATTTGCTTCTGTGCCCTCTACTTGGGAACGCAAAAGCTTCCAAAATAAATCTGCTGCATCAATTGCAATATTTGGGATGTTTCTATTTCTCTCTTTCTAACTACCTTTAGTTTTCTTAAGCCTTGCTTGGCAATACCCCACTTTTGGCTTTAATGTTGAACGTTCGCCAAGGTGATGGGCTCTGTCCCAAGACCGGGACATACCAAAGTCGTCCTTAAAAACGGTAGTTGTTATTCCCTGCTTAACGATTAGCATTAAGGGTAATGGCAACAGCTGGTTCGTCCGTTGTCAGTATAATGTGACCGGGCGGAATGCTGCGCTGGGTGCCTTCAGTGAGAAAGTCGGCATCAGATCCGCGCTATCACACACATGCAAGCTTACGTCCTTAAATTACCTTATAGCTGTTAATAGTACGTTAAACAAAATAAAACCATACCAAGCACTCTTAAGTCAGCAGTACATACACACATTCACGCTTACATCACACTCAAAGAGGCACATCATTATATGACATGAGCTGTTAATAGAGCGCTTAACCAAATGAAACCAAACCAAATTCGGCATCAGATCACAAAAGGAGGCAGATACACAAATATTTCACAAATGGAAGCACGACATTGTTGGCCTCATTTGTTGATAGGGCGATAAACGCACCGAACTAGATAAACCAAACTGCATACCCTGACCGCTGCAGTATAATTAGTTGAATAATTCACCGGTGTAATTGTTTCTAATCGCTGTATCTATGTCGGTCGGTCCGTTCCAGACCCTGCATTATTAAGTTTGGAACTACATGTACATTGTACATGATGACAGGTTTATCTTATTTAGTATATATCTGACATCATTACCTTGTACGATTGTCTTAGATTGATCTTACTGATTTGCATATGTCCTCCCGTCGGAGCCACATAGCTGTTCGTCCGGATGAGCTAGGTGATTTCTACAGTCTAGCATGAGGAGGTCGATACACAGGTGGCTCCCGAAGTGTGACGTCAGGTGATCCAGCTCCCCCTGGACCTCCCCTGGACTGGCCGTTTGATATTCCTGACCATGGTGATGATTCGCCCCCGCGACAAAGGCCACTGGGAAAATAAACGGAGGATATCGCATTAGTGAGTTATACTTGTAGAAAAAAAGATACGAAAGAGGTACATGTAGCAGGTTTGCACGAACAGCAACAAACCGGAGACAAACTACATTTTCAGTTAACCTGGTCAAGGTTACACAAGTTTACAGGAGATCATACTCCGCACTTAATTTTCGTTTCCCAAGGTTTAGGTCCCCGAACCCCTTCCAAATGGGGTTATTTGTGGGCAGCCTTGTTTCCTCCAACACCAAGACCTAGGCGCGCTCTGGACCCTACCTGTGGTGATTGGGTCTGTTACTCATTTAGTCGAGATATGTCACCAGCTCCTTCAAGGTTGACTAATGATACAAAACACTACAAGCAAGAGGTAAGGCTGCATTGTTTAGATTTATGTAACTATATGACCGAATATCTATCTACACGAGTTACAACTTTCCGCGTTTTGGCGTATCACACTTGACAAAGTTACAATGTACTTCATTTTTTGTCGCTAACTTTTGCTTGTTTACACGATAAGTCAAGCAGTTCTTCAATTCTTACTAAACGACTTGGTTGTTTCATTACCTGAAAGCGTTGAATGAGTACCTAAATGGTGACATTTAAACGCTTTTCGGCAGAGATATGCCCCCTTTTTATAGCCAAATAAGAGCATTCCGTCGAAAATGCAAGATTTTTTAATTATTTGTTCAGACTCCTACCTAAAGCCAAGGTTCCAGTTTTAGTTATAGCAACATTGACCTTGAATTTGTGATTCGGAAAATCAAAAATGGTTTGGCCAAAAATAGCAAATGAATGTTAAGGTCACAGTCACTAAAAACACGGTGGCAGTAAACACATTTGTATCATATGTCACTTCCTGCTTCCAATATACCAATACACTTCCGAGGGTCTGACGGATGTATCATGCTTCCGCTCGTGGTGCTCTTGTTCGTTAATACTACGTCATAAATTAATTATAGAGCTTAACGAAGACAGCGACATCATATCTCTTTCTCAAATTAGATAACAGCACGTTTATTGCGTGTACATGACCTCTGACTCGATCAAAGTATTGCTTGAGATAAATAGGTCAGAAAATAGGTTTGTACGCCTATACTTGACCTAAATACAAGTCATTTGAAATTAAATCTTTTAATACCGATTAACTGTTAGTATATGTATGATATTATGTCATTTGAAGACAATTATTTTTCGTGATACGACCATAAATAGATAATTATATAAATCTGACTGAAATATAACCACATGCTTAAATGAAAAAGATATAAGCTCAAATACGAAATAGTAACTTTCTGGTGACTGAAGAATGTAATTGACCATGCCGCATGTTAATTGAGTGATAGGATGGTACACGTTTTTGATGTATTTAGTTGACATGGTAATTGGGTGATATGAGGGTACAACATTTTGATGTATTTAATTGACTATGCCACATGGTAGTTGGGTGATATGAGGGTACAACATTTTGATGTATTTAATTGACTTTGCCGCATGGTAGTTGGGCGATAAGGAGAGTACAACATTTTGATGTATTTAATTGACTATGCCGCATGGTAGTTGGGCGATAGGAGAGTACAACATTTTGATGTATTTAATTGACTATGCCACATGGTAGTTGGGTGATATGAGGGTACAACATTTTGATGTATTTAATTGACTATACTGCATGGTAGTTGGGCGATAGGAGGTTACAACATTTTGATGTATTTTATTGACTATACCGCATGGTAGTTTGGTGATTGGAGGGTACAACATTTTGATGTATTTTATTTACTATGTCGCATGTTAGTTGGGCGATAAGGAGGGTACACCATTTTGATGTATTTAATTGACTATGCCGCATGGTAGTTGGGCGATAAGGAGGATACAACATTTTGATGTATTTAATTGACTATGCCGCATGGTAGTTGGGCGATAGGAGGGTACAACATTTTGATGTATTTTATTGACCATGCCGCATGGTAGTTAGGCGATAAGGAGGGTACAACATTTTGATTTATTTAATTGACTATGCCGCATGGTAGTTGGGCGATAGGAGGGTACAACATTTTGATGTATTTTATTGACTATGCCGCTTAGTAGTTGGGCGATAGGAGGGTACAACATTTGTATGTATTTTATTGACTATGCCGCATGGTAGTTGGGCGATAAGGAGGGTACAATATTTTGATGTATTTTATTGACCATGCCGCATGGTAGTTAGGCGATAGGAGGGTACAATATTTTGATGTATCTTATTAACCATGCCGCATGGTAGTTAGGCGATAGGAGGGTACAACATTTTGATGTATTTTATTGACCATGCCGCATGGTAGTTAGGTGATAGGAGGGTACAACATTTTGATGTATTTTATTGACTATGCCGCATGGTAGTTAGGCGATAAGGAGGGTACAACATTTTGATGTATTTAATTGACCATGCCGCATGGCACTTGTGTGATAGAAGGGTACAACATTTTGATGTATTTTATTGACTATGCCGCATGGTAGTTGGGCGATAAGGAGGGTACAACATTTTGATGTATTTTATTGACTATACTGCATGGTAGTTGTGCGATAAGGAGGGTACAATATTTTGATGTATTTTATTGACTATGCCGCATGGTAGTTGGGTGATTGGAGGGTATCACGCTGACATGATCATTAAACATATCAACACATTGTATGATCCACTCACCCGAATACCCCACTGCACGTGTCTCTTCAGAAATTAACGTTACGCTCACACCAGTGATTTCACTGTAACAATTTGATAATAGATACGGTATGTCACAAAATGAATTACACTACATCAAACAGTCGTTTCGACCATTTCAGTCTCGTCGGTATGTTGTTGCCTCATTCACACGAATGCTGAACGGTGAATTAAACGTATTATAATAATGAACTCTCCAATCACCAAAGTTCTCTCAATTTAACATCATATTAACATGCCAGTAGATTCCCTTTACAGGAGTACCATTTTGTCCATTCAGTGTATTTGATCATAGCTTACGTCATATGAACCCGGTGAATGCGCCATCTTAATGCATCATATCTTCTGTAAATCCAGCAGTTCACTACTTTTTTTCTTTTCTCAAATAACTATTTTTTCGTCAAGACAGTTGGTATGACTGCGAAAAATGTTTAAAGATCGAAATGTCGTGTGTTTCCGGTAGAAACGGAGATCATGATCGGTGAAGAATATATTTAGCGTACACATATAGGAAGTTTATACAAAAATCACGTTTGCATCTTTCGTATCCTACTTTACATTTTTTGTACGTTATCTAACAAATGTTATTTTTGATGCGAGGAAGTAAGGTATTAAAAGTTAGATTTAAACACTTTAAAACATGACTGTCGATATATCAGGATAGGTCCGAACATTCCCCCTGTAACCAATTTTTGGGTCCATGAGGCCTACGCTTGTCTACCTATGGCTACTTTTGGCTAAATGTCGATTTTAGTTAATAAAAAACTTAGACGGGTGAGCTAAGTTCCGTCTTAGAAAAATAATCATGAAACTGAGAAAAAAGGGATAATAGATGAAACATAAAAATAAATATAAGTGATCGTGATATATTTTCGACATGTGAAATTGGCTGAACAATAAAACGATCTTACCAGAAACCGCAAGCAAAGCGATAGTAAGGTGGAACATCGTGATGTTTGTGATCACTATTGTCCGTGACAGGTATATAGCTCCTATCTATGTGTCGTGTTTACAATGACCCTCACCTTCCGACTACTGCGTGACAAGATAAAGAATGCCATTCTATTAGTGGGAGAGTGTTTTAGTAGTACACTGTTCGTCTACACACTGTTTGTCTACACACTGTTCATCTATACACTGTTCGTCTACACACTGTTCATCTATACACTGTTCGTCTACACACTGTTCGTCTACACACTGTTCATATATACACTGTTCGTCTACACACTGTTCATCTATACACTGTTGATTTATACACTGTTCATATATACACTGTTTATCTATACACTGTTCGTCTATACACTGTTCATCTATACACTGTTCGTCTACACACTGTTCATCTATACACTGTTCGTCTACACACTGTTCGTCTACACACTGTTCATCTATACACTGTTCGTCTACACACTGTTCGTCTACACACTGTTCATTTATACACTGTTCATCTATACACTGTTCATCTATACACTGTTCATTTATACACTGTTCATCTATACACTGTTCATCTATACACTGTTCCTCTATACACTGTTCATTTATACACATAATCCAGAGGTGTAATTATAAAAATATTGATTGATTGAAGAATTCAAAAGATGTTTTGATCAATCTTAAACATCCTTTCCTCTAAATTGTCTCTTTTCTCCGCAAATAACCTCATACCAAAATGGAAGCATGTTTTTCTTATCTTATTTTGGCAGCCATTTTTAAAGAAAGGCGAACGTAATATTAAGATATTGCTGTACACTAGTTCTAGCATTTTTTATGAAAAGTGTCAAAATTGAGTATGCTGCGGATGAAATCGTTAGATCGACTTGAGTTCCAGATTGACAACATTTTCGAGCAGACTAGGCCTGCCACTCACGTTAACCCTCTTCTGGCCGACTGTTTTTGTTCACATGTTGGGCTGAATTACCTGAAGACCTTATTAGGAAAAGTAACAAAAACCAAGACAATATTTTCTATAATTTTCCCTTGCAATATGCAATCCGGAAGTAACAGTCCTAACGGGAAACAATAACATTACCCTTGAACCACGGAAAAACATGTTTCAATACATACCCTGATATCTACAAATACAGTCTTCATGGTGATTGATTTCTGTTTTTTTTTTTTAATTTTATTTTTGTATTCTTTTATTAAAACGTTTCATTAAAAAATAATTACGAAATAACATTTCTCCTTTGACATATTCTCGTGAGAGTGAGATGCAGCTGTCTCATCTGTTGCTAGAGGAAATAAAAGAAACATGGCATAACGGTATCATAAACAAGAAAATGAAGCAAAGCTGCTGGACACTGAATCCTTTGATAGAAGTCACAACCAGCCACTTCATCATTTTGTCATATTGAAATTAATTTTATCGTTCAGAATATTTTGTTCACGCTCAATTTCCTCACATGTTGCATTATTGCCACTTAAAAATTATCCCAAAGTACGAAACTGCACTTTTTACTGCAAATATGAATGACAACGTTAGTTTCAATGTTTTGTAGTATTGCGTATTGATACAAACTCGTTAATATATTTGTCCTGTTAGCCTATTCTCTTGTACTAGATTTATACTGTAGATCTAAGGAGGAATACTACAATGTTTATCCATATGAGTGATATATGATATTCAGCGGGACAACCATAACATTTTCTATTCATTACATTTAAAAAAAATGTAACGCGTCACATATATTAGTGCGGGAATTTGTAGCGTTATATATTGACGAACAAATACTATAACTTGTGTTGCCGAGGCACATAACGACAAACACTTATTGGACATATTCCTTACATTTCACTGGTAAAATAGTATAAATACGAACAACGTAGGGGTTTATGATCATTTTTGTAGATCGTGTGCGGTCTCAATTTCCCAGAATTGTTCAGACGTGGGGAAGCACCGGAAGTGGACAAAGTGTGTACTGATAAAACCCAGCGACTTGTAATATTTCTATATGTTAAAGTTTTGATAGAAAAATAACATACATTATGTGCTAAACACATTCATCTCATAATATTTACATTATGTATGCTTGGACCCATTGACGAAAGTGACATTCATTTTTGCGTTAAACATGTGACCTTATCAATGCCTAACGATACACTACATATGCAAGTCCGCGCACGAGTGAATATATACGTCCGGGCAATAAATGAGTGCTTTCTGATTCGTTAGAAAAACACAAGTGTGTGGTCTTGCTTTTATCACATACCTTCCGTATTTGGTAGAGATCGATACAAAGATTTAATAAACTTTGACATTTTTTGCAAATACCGGGAACTTTTCAGTTCGCCATGACAAGGGGATTCCCATAAAAAAAGTAGTTCCGGCTAGTAGGTAAATCCAACATTCCGTATTGCACATGTGCAATACAGAACGTTGTATGTCATGGTATGAAAATTGCTTGTATTACTATAACAAGATTCAACAGGTATGTGATAAAAATGCTTCTCATCCGGGACGACCCATTTTTTTCCCGTGTCATTGTCGAATTCGAACTTCGTTACTTTGTCATTACGTCAGGTGTACTAAATCCACTCCAGCGCGCACGTTCAACTTCATTTTCCTCAGGATTCCTTTCAAATTCAGTGTTTCATGACTGCAATTTCAACTTCGGAGGCCAGTCGATGTAGCTGTGTGACCTAGCTGTTTGTACGAAATGTCGGGCCTGATGACGAAGCACACGGCGAACTTGGTTTACGTCCGCCGTGAAACAACCCTCGATGTAGTTCTTATGCTTTATATGAATTAGCATTAGCACCATAAGTATACATCGTCCTTCCGTGCTGATACTGTGATTCAAAATTCCACGCAGATGTCAGTCTTTAAACACTCTTTAAAGCTTATGTGTCACTGCTTTTCCTCGACAGTCAGAATTTACATTGTTTATCTTTTCCTCTTCTGAACTAGTTAATGTCAGCGATTAGCTCTTTTCAGGAAACCTTTTATTTACAACTCATTACTGCATTTCACAAACAACTACCCCTATCCTACGTCGTATGGTTTAACGTTAACATTCAATTTGAGGACCTTATATTAGGAAGGAGTGAAAATGAGCGTTCTACGTATCATGAAAACAATATTGGGATTGTATGAATCTAAATCACCAAGTAATACATAATCGATTTAATACCGTTAGTACTCCGGTTTCTATGACAATTTTACACGTGACTGTACAGATTGAGTTTACAAATGGTATTACATCGTTCCCTACGACTTCCGCCAGACGGCGCCTTTAATACGTAACCAAAGTACGTCGTTTTACACGACATATAGGTTAATAACAACAGCTTTACTACAGTAGATAGCTGGCAACGTTCTCCTGAACATGAGAAGAAATGACTAATATTAAGGGATTGGAATATTTATCCTGAATTCATGACGGTATGTCGGCGGTGTTACCAGCTCGCAACAATGACAAACGTGTAGGTCGGGGACAGAGAGAAAAACAATACCTGCTGTTACCAACTGTATGTCGTCAAGTGGCAACTAATGTGTGAACCCAGTGCAGAATGAGGTTTTAATTGTGTGCCTGATATTAGGGGACACACATAGCAATCAAAATACATATGCTGCCCTCATTGCAAACATCTAAATCCTTATGTTTTCTCCCTGTGATTTGAAAGCTTTTTTTTCATCTCCCAGTGCGTTGCTTGGCAACACAACACTTTTGGCCTCAGTGTTCAGAATTTGACCAAGTGGAGTAGCGTGCCAATATGTGAAAACAACCCAATATTCTGAAAAAAAAATGAAAACTATATTAAACCCATTCATTACTGTGTGTAAATTACGTATCATTCAATCCTACTCTAATGTGGACTATTCCCATTAATTATATCCACTAATTATCCAAAAAATATATTAAGATATTTTTTTCTTCACTTTTCACAAGTTGGGTTACATCTGCTAGTACAAATAATATCAATCTAAAATGTGAAAACATGAAAAATGTATTTAATCCAATAATTAATGTTAATTAAATACTTATCATTCAAACTAACTATAATATGGGCCATTAGTGCTCTGTCCATAGGCCGTGAAAAATAGCAGTTCTCATTCCCTGCTAAACGTTCAGCATGTAGAGTAACGCCATTTAGGGTAATAGCGATAACGGCATTTAGGGTTATAGCGATAACGCCATTTAGGGTTATAGCGATAACGCCATTTAGGGTAATAGCGATAACGCCATTTAGGGT